ACTGGAAATGAGATGGAAGCTACTGTATATAGAGACATAAAAATCCCGCTTCGCTGAGGAATGTTGCTTACACTATCTTCGGGATCCCCATTTCCCCGGAATTACGACCGCATGCTCCTAACAGACAATGCGTTTATACACTGGGGACAGGGTCTAGGGATTAGGGCTCATCAGAAGAACGTGCTCCATTGCCTTACTCAAAAGGGGCGTTAGCCTGCTTCAGTAGATAGAATCATGCCAAAAGTCCTTCTAGCTGCACACGGATACCTGTCCAAATTTAGGAACCAAATTGTGTGCAAACCAGGGTATGGCGGTAGACGTATCATTGAAATGACCCCCAGGAAAGCCGTAGCAGTTTGATGGCTGTCCCTCTCTGCCTCCAGCAGCAAGGTAAGGCGAACTGCGAATGCCACGTGTGATCTCAAGAGTAGTAGACGTCGCGCTGATCCACGCGCTTGGAGCAGTTCGATGCCTTCGTCCAGGTGTCGGTTTTTAGCACTGTCTGGCCGAGGACCCAATATGCAAAGCCGTGTACACATGAAAACAACTCCCACAATGCCAAAAGTAGAAAAGCTGCTGGTGACAATTACCTGTTCAAAACTTGACAGAAATTTCATACTGCTACAGGAGCTGCGGGGAGTCTTGCACCAGCCGGCACACCCAGGTAAACCAGATATCCGATACCCTAGAAACCCCAAAAATCAACCCCCCCAACCCCCTAATATTAAATACTCCCAAAATATATTATAAGATACCATACTGGGAGTGTTTAATAGTACGGGGGTTGGGGGGTTACTATTAGGGGGAGGGCATTACTGTATGTGGCGGATCTTTTTATCGTTTCCTCCGTCCACCGCAGCACCAGCATTCCAATCCATCTGATTGCCCTAAACCCTAAACGGTAAACCCTAAACCCTAAACTAGGACGTAGGGCCTGTACCTTAGGGCCCTCATTCATTTACATGAGGATTCTAACAGGTAACCGTCGCAGCAGCATTTAACCGGCCCCTGATGGGTATGCCATTCCCTCATCATTTGCTAACTCTGCAGAACACCCCAAAACCTCAACCCTAAACCCCAGACCCTACCCAATGAAAACTCTTCCTCTACCAAAGCCATGAGCTCTCAAGGAGCCGGGAACAGAAACCTGGAATCCCGATCTCATACATCCTGGAAACACTTAAAGAGTTTAGGGCTTTAGGGTTAAGGGTTTAGGGTTTAGGGTTTTAGGGTTTAGGGTTTTAGGGTTTAGGGTTTAGGGTTTAGGGTGCAAACCCTCATATGGGGACTATATGTATAGGGGTTGGGATAATGGAAAAGAAAATGGAAACTACAAGGATTATAGGGCTTATATAGGGATTATAGGGTATATGTATAGGGGTTATATGGGGATAATGGAAAAGAAAATGGAAACTACAAGGATTATAGGGGTTATATAGGGTTTAGGGCCGCAAACACTGAACTTCCAAATCTTCAATTCGCCAAAGTTCCCGAGCCCTCAAGACCAAACCAAAAGCCTAAGCCCCGCGAGGAAGGACCCTTACAAGGGACTGATACTTGGAGGTCCATGGTACTTATAACCTACTTAGTAACAGTAGTTATAACCCAAATATATCTAGGGTAACTGTAGTTATGGAACTGATATTTAGGTTCTAACTACAATTGCTAAGTAGGTTATAAGTACCACGGACCTCCAAGTAGGGTAACCCATGCAAGGGTCTCTCTGACGTGCTGTCCGGCAGTCCCATGCGGCTTCTTTGGGGATCTAACTAAGAACCTTCTTCCCACCCAAGTAGCGCAACTGTGCAGGATGCACCAGGAGAGTTCTCGCAAAGGCCCAGTACCTCAAAGTAGTCTAAAACCTACACCCCAAACCCTAAACTCTAAACCAAAAACTGGTTTTAGGCTTCCAGGGGCTTGGGGTGTGAGATCTTTGGGCTTTAGGCACATGGGCCCTGCAATCTCAGAATAAGCTTTGTAGGGCTTAGGGGCAAAGCCTGTTTTAAGTCCTACGTTCCTAGGTTTTGGGCTTAGGGCTTAGGATTCAAGATTTAAGATTTAGTCTTTTAGTTTTTCTTGGGGGGGAGGGAGGCTGGGCGGAGGGTGAGGGTTTGGGGCTTAGGGTTTAGGGTGCGTAGGGCGTGGGCCGTATGGTCTAAGGTTTAGGGTTGCATGGGGAAGTGCAATGACTTTAGCGGTCCCACGCACATTTTAGCAAATCGAGATTCAATACTGCAGCAACAGCCGCAACATGTAATGCAGAGACCTAAATAATTGCTGTGGCCAGAATCATGTTAAGGTCCATTTGAGGTTCGCTAGTCTTATGATAATGAAGAACCAAAATACTCAGGCCCGTATAGTAGCCTCGTTCGTGGTATCTGAAATTACGCAGCAACTAGTCCACTTGACTTTTGTTACGCAAGCCCACGCAAAGTGGTGACTCATGGTTCGGAAAATCCTGTTGAATGCTAGCGCCCTAAACCCTGCACCCTAAACCCCACTCCCTAAACCTGAACCCCAGCCCCTCAAATCTAGGCCCCTATTACTATGTCCTAGGCAATGAAACCTGTACCCCGAAACCACCTACCACCCATAATCAGATCCTATGTATCCATGATTTTGGGGTCATCAGCTGCTCTTCTAGGCATTTGGGAGATCTACTTAGATACTGAACCCTAAACCCAAACCCCTCTTTGGGAGCTCAAGGTAAATACTCCATTCTTAACCCTAAGCCCTAAACCCCCAACCCTAAACCCCCCTAAAGCCCTAAACCCCCAACCCTAAACCCCCCTAAGCCCTAAACCCCCAACCCTAAACCCCCCTAAGCCCTAAACCCCCCTAAGCCCTAAACCCCCCTAAGCCCTAAACCCCCCTAAAGCCCTAGCCATAATTCATTGTCAGGTGCAGGGCAGTTTCGTGGGCGTTTGCCCACGCAAAGCCGTCGCCTAAAGGGGTTGGAATGAACTGAGGTGCATTAAGGGTCCAAGTACACATTATGGAGGTTATAAGGATATTTGAGGAGACATAGGGATATATAGGGGTCGAAGGTGTTTAGGGTTTAGGGTTTAGGGTGGACATATAGGGGTTGAATGTGAAGGTCTAAGCACCCAAGAATCATATGCGAGTACTTGCCCAATCAGCACTACCATTTACTACCCAAATGCCAAGACCCTAAACCCTAAATCCTAAACCCTAAACCCTATACTACCATTTACTACCCAAATGCCAAACACAGAACTATTAGGTACTTGGACCCCGATTAACCCTGGAGGCCTACGTCTGCATTCACACTGGGTTCCACTCAGCTGCCCATTTGGGGGTTCTAGGGCTTTAGGGTTTATGGATTCAGGGTTTTAGGGCTTTAAGGTTTAGGATTTAAAGAGCTTTAGGGTTCAGGGCTCAGGGCTGTGGGTTTGAGGGTTTATGGGGAATCCGCTGATTACAAGCTGGCTTAAAAGTAGCTTATGACAAGGGTAGCTGGGTAACTCTGGCTCAAAAACTATGAGGAGCGACCTGATTTAGAGCTTCACGCTTCGCAGCTCATCCTATATGCTTGAGATGTAAAGGTTAAAGCATCAGAGTTTTTATATATAAAGTTTAGAGCTTGTGGCTTGCGGCTTGTAAATTCCTACGTCTCAAGCTAGGGCCACCTCTGGTACTCTAGGAGTATAGGAGAATTTTCAAGACATTGCGCATTATTTGGACATTGCTGTCATACTACTCCTCCTCAGCCACTACTGCCATTCCTCCCACCCTTCCTGCGACGACGTCTACAAAGAGGACGAGACGGCGACGGCCACTGCGACTAGAACTACTACGGCGACGATGTCTACATCTACGGCAACGCCTATGATTGAAACGACGACTACGGCAACCACGTAGACCTGCCGCGGACAATGCATGAAGCTCGCGATGATTACAATGCCGACATGACCTTCCATGCAGATCGCTTGTGGTCATGCAAGGTGCTGAAGTTGCTAGTCTCCGGAAGGTCCACGGAGACGTCCAGCAAAACTTGGGCAGCACCGGTATGTGTGACATTGGCATTCTCCTGGAGGCACTCACCTCAGGCTGCAAAGCTTAGGGCTGTAGTTCAGGGACGATTGAGGCTCGTAAGCTCGACCCCAAAGTCTGATAAGAATACCCATCTCCTAGCCTCGTATTCGCCACACACCAGCATGACATAGCGCCAACGATGCATCCTTGCAAAGGCGGAGGCTCTGCAGAAGCATTGCATCTACATCTGCACTTCATGGTTGGATGCCACAAGCAAATCAGGCAAAAAGTTAGTTCTCACATGTTGTACGTGAACTTGAGGGATATATCCAGCGGATTGCCTGCGGCCCAACTAGGTGATCAGGCCTGAAAATGATGGAGAGAAACATGCAATCGCAGCACCTCTGTGACGCGCATTGCTCTCGACTGACTGGAACCCTACTGCCGCTGCTGCGCTGCCGCCGCTGCTGCTGCTGTGAATGCTATCTCTTGCTCGTCCCCGTTGCTGCTCCGCTGCAGCTGCAAGTGCTACTGCTGCTACTGCCACCATCAGCACGACCCTGCCACCACCACGACCACCGCCGCAGCCGCCACGGCTAGCACAACGGTTCATGACTATGATTCTATTCTGCCTGTATGAAGTTGCAGCCCGGGTTCCGAACTCTTCACAAAGCCATCCGCACATTGTACCTCACAGGCGCTGCCGTGCGGCAAGCCGGCACAATCCACCAGATTGGCGCTGTTGACAATCCTTGCAACAGGCTCCTAGCTTTCCACTTAAGGGCGTTTCTCAGAATAGGTACCCTTCGAGACACTAGGGGTTTATAAGCATTGTAAGGAGATTACCTGAGGTCTTGATTGTTTTGCAAAACACCCGTTCGCGTACATGCAGAGGTTACCTCCTTGTGTTGTACACCCGCAGAAAAAAAGGATCCTGAGCATAGTATAAGGAACCGCACAAACAAGAAACTTGACACTCCACAATGGAGATAGGTCCAAGGGACTTTGGCGGCTCCGAGCAGATGTCGGAAGCGGAGACAGAGGTCGTTGATGGCGCAGTCTCATTGGATGCTGTCGTTGTCGTTACATCCGAGGCGCTGACAGTGCTGGATGAAACGGTTGTATCCACCAGTGTAATATTCGCTGTAGAATCTACAGTTGTGCTTGTGGCTGCGATAATAGGACTGCTCACGGTTGACGTACTGGTTGCCATAGTTTCTGTACGGGTCACTGTTGCAATGTCTGAGGTTCTAGTGCCTGTGGTGGAGGCCGTGATGCTTGTATCAGTGGCCGAAGTTGTGACAATTGTCTGAGTCGTGCTAGTGATTGTTGTGACGGTACTCTCAGTGGTGGTAGTAACTGTTGTAACGGTTGTCTGAGTGGCAGTTGTCTCAGTGGTGGCCGTGAGTGTATGCGAAGTTGTTGCTGATGTAGCAGTGATGGTGGAGACGGTGCTGCTGATGGTAACTGTTGCCGTTGTTGTTGTGCCTGTGGTTGTTGCAGTTAGGCTGGATGCGGTCATGGTAAGTGTCACTTCGCTTGTAGTGGTAGAGGTAGCTGACCTGGTGGACGTCGATGTTGCGCTTGAAATCGTTGATGTGGCTGTGGCCGTAGCCGTGTGTGTCATTGTGGAAGTCAATGTAGAAGTCAATGTGGAAGTCCATGTGGAAGTCAATGTGGCGCTTGTAGTGGTCCATGTTCTTGTGGAAGTGAGAGAGGCACTTGTACTCGTCCATGTCGTGGTGGCTGTTTCCGTCCCGGTTGTCTTTGTGGAGCTCATGCTCGTTGTGGAGGTAACTTCCAAAGCCGTTGTGGTGGTGGTGGTCCCAAGCTCACAGTCCATTAGGAACATGCACTTGATGGAAGTGAGGCCAACATCAAGATCCCCATCACCCACACAAGTGTTGCCAGTTGGAAAGGTCCAGTCAATTGTCTCACCTTAGCTGACTGTAGGACCACCTTAAACGCTTCCCTATTATGGATTGTTCTTAAAATTGTGGGGCTCCTTTTGGTTATAGGTTAAATTAGGGCACCGTATATTTAGGGGCACCAAAATAGGACCCTAATTTTGCCAGCTACCCGCTTTTTTGGTAGGAAACTCTGAAAGTTAAAGTAAACCCTAAACCCTAAGCCCTTGTTAAAGTCCTAAGAACCAAGCCCCCTCATGCAGCCAAGTCTCCTACTGCAAAAGCCAGGTGATTGAAACTACAGTCGAAGCCAATCATTCCGAAGTAATGCATCTCCTGGGCTGCTGTTAAGGAACCAAAATTAAGTTTCCATGGGTTGAGGGTTTAGGGTTAAGGTGGGTGTGTATATATATATATATAGATATCAACTAATGGGGCTTCCTTAACAGCGGCCCAGTCTCTGGCACTCCGTTCCACTCATCTGCATCCGTTCCTCTAGGGTGGGTATGCCGGCCTTATAAACAACATGTCTATGGCCTGAGAGGGATTAATGGGTATTAAGCGGAAAAACACACTGAAATTATGTTCAATAACCTACCCCTGTCCTGTTGTTGGGACACAATTCGCTGGAATGACTCCGCCATCGCCAAAGGCCGCTAGCATGCAAACGTTGAGAGCTCCAGGGGTCTCTCCGCCAGCAATGTTGTCATCAAAACCCAATCCATTGTACCTGACGGGAATCTGGTAATCCCCTCCACTAATATTAAACCCCCCACCCACCCACCCACCCACACCCCCTAATCTTCAATGTATGGTTTATAATGATATATTGGGAATATTTGATATGACGGGGGTGGGGGGATTGCTATTCTTGTTGTTGCTTTTGTTGCTGCTAGTAATATGTTTGTAAATCACCTGATAAGCTTTAGCCAGTGGCGTTGCCACCATAATCGTTCTTTTGCTGCAATATCTGCTCGGTCCTTCCCCTTGCAAAACTCCTGGAGCATCAAGGTTTTACGGTTTTTGGCTTAGGGCTTGGCGTCTAAACCCTACACCCTAAACCCATAGGAATGGGTGGTGCAGGATATGTTCACATGGCCATGAAACACGAACCTACCATGTAAAGCCATTGTCTAAGCTCCTAATATTCCCCTTTAATAAGCCCTATAATGGCCCCCTATATAATCCCCTATATAACCCCCTTCAGAGAGTTTGGACTTTAGCTCATGTAATCCAACAGATTTCACGCCGTAAGCTTGAGCTGTCAGGAAACCGTCTTGCCTAAAGGGTTTAGGGTTTAGGGTTGAAGGTTGAGGGGTTAGGGTTTAGGGATTAGGGTTTAGGGTTCGTGTGTTGGGTTACGTTGGCATAATGAATTCTTCGGGACCTCTAGTAGGGACCCCCACCACCATTTTCATGGATAAACCCGATATGTTCTGCAGAGAAGCAAGTTCATGCCCCTAGAACCTGTGTTGAGGACCCTACATAACTAAATAGAGCTCAGATAGGTCCTGTTCTACTACATCTTTGTCAAAGTCAAATTTCTGGATGTGTACAAGTACGTAAATCGTTCCTCATACTAGAACAAGCCCACCCTCACTCCCGGGTATAAATTTGTCACCGTGATACTGCCAGGGCTTCATGTTAGAACCGTACCCCCTAAACCCCTAAACCCTAAACCCCTAAACCCGAAACCCCTATACGCGCTAAACCCTAAACCCCCTAAACCCTAAACCCCTAAACCCTAAAACCCTCAACCCTAAACCCTAACCCCCTAAACCCTAAATCCGCACCTCAACGGATCATTCGTCGTACCAGTGAGGCGGAAGCCCTTGTAGTTGCCCTCAAGGACTTGGCTGCAGGATGCGGCACCCAACTCATCCCGGATATTTTGACCTGGGTTTAGGGGTTTAGGGGGTTTAGGGGTTTAGGGTTTTAGGGGTTTAGGGGTTAGGGGTTTAGGGTTTAGGGGTTAGGGTTTAGGGGTTAGGCGTTTAGGGGTTAGGGGTTTAGTGTTTAGGGCTTTGGGCTTATGGCTTATGGTTTGGGCGGCTGAGGTCACCGTTAACATTCTGAGCTGGGTCACAGGTTCATGTAGTTTAGGGTTTATGACTTAGGTCATCCCTAATCTCTTGACTTGGGTTTAGGGTTTAGGCGGTTCAGGGTTTAGGCTATCCACTTGACCTGGATTAAGGGTTCAGGCAGTTCGGGGCCCAGGCTTTTGGTGATCCTTGATGTTCCTGCGCATTTCGAACTATGCTAAGGAGTTTGGCAATTTGGGGTCAGGATTTGGGTCATGAAACATATTTCGACCTGGATTTAGGAATTTCGTGGCTCAGGGCTCTGTTCTTGTCTAATATGGGTAATTCTCCAAATTAAGGTCCCATTTTGGTACCCCTGATATTTCTGTGTATGCTTGACAAGTGAGGCATTTAAAGACGGGTTGAAGTTGACTTAGTATCGCGCGGGCCCACCCATTAAGAGTGTACCTGGATCCCAGAAGCATGTAGAAAAAGAGCTTCTCTGGGCCATACATAGTCTAAACTCCTAGTATCCCCCTTACGAGCCCCTATAATACTCCCGCATTTACAATCCCCTATACAAACCCTTTAAAGCAATTCAGACTGTAGCTCATAAGGGCTGTGGCCCATTATTACACCTACTCTGGGTGTCCAGTTAAGCACGCTTCATGCTATTTTCATCTCCCCGGAATATTAGACGCTCCGTCATCCCCTAATATCAAATGTTCCCTAAAAAAGCTTGTACTGGGGGCATACTTACCATCATGGGAGGGGAGGAGGGTGCTTAAATGTCGGGGGGAAGGGATCGCATCGGCAATATCCCTTTTCAAGGAAGGGCCTGGCGTAGACAAACCCTAAACACCTAAACCCTAAACCCCTAAGCCCTACACCCCTAAATCCTAAACCCTAAACATGCTGTCCCACTCCTTCCCTC